TGACATTCTGATATAAATGGGATCCTTCAAGTCTACCCCTTTAAGCTCTTGGGTTCTCAACCCAAAACTTTCAGTGGGAACCAATACTGGCCCTTCAGTATTGGTACTGACCCCTGGGCATCGATACTAGTGTCTAGGTATCGATACTACTAAATGAATTTAAGCTGAGAAAAGCGAGTTGGTATCGATACTCATGATGGGTTATCGATACCCCTAATATGTGGTATCGATACTTGATTAAGTATCGATACCAATTTTTTGCTTCAGTGTTTTAAAAATCTCCTGAGTATCAATACCCCTATTTAACGTATCGATACATGTATCGATACTACCTTAGTATTGGTATCAAATTTGGCTTCGATGTTATGAAAAATACTTAGGTATTGATATCCCTATAGGGAGTATCGATACCCGTTGAAGGAGTATCGATACTTCTGTCCTAAAACCCTTTGTTATTTTAAAGTCTAAAGAACAATATATGTATTGTTATTCTAGTACCAATACTCATGCCTAGAAATGCTCTGTTTTGAACACAAAAAATATCAACTTTTGACCCAAAACATCCTACTGAGGGTCCCAACTATTATTAATGTCTTATGTATGATTATAGGGGTCATAAAGAGTCTATAAACATGTTGTAAAACATTGATTTCTGAATCCTACCATGAAAATACTTTATAACTCATGTAACTTACCAAACACACTTTAATGACCTACATGTGGTAGGTTTGAGTTAGAAGTGAGTTACCTTTGATTTCTAAGCTACTGGAAGTCTCCAAAACTCAATCCAAGGTAAGTTTTCCCTTCCCCTTGCTCTTAGAGTTTTCTCCAACCTCTATTACTAAGAAAGAAATCAAAGCAAGGGTTACTAACGTACTTGGAAGGCTTAGGAGAGAATTTAAAACTTTTCTAAAAGCTTGAATCTCTAAAAAATGAACTGATCATTTGGTTTCTAAAACCCCCCACTAAACCCATGTTTTGACCACCTTAGCCAAAACTTACAAAGTATAGCTTGAAATAGAGCTTGGAAGGAGATGATTAAGTTTATTACCTTAATGTTGCTAGTTAAGGCTTAAAAGGTCTCAAAGTTCCAACTTTTTCTTAGTTATCTTGAAGAAGAAGAAGATGATGACGAAGAGAGAAAGAAACAAAGAAGTGTGGGAAATGGGGAGAGGGTTGAATGACCAAATTAGTGTATCCCTTCCGATTACATCACCACCAAATAAGTGATTTTCAACTTTTGAAACACATAAGGGGTTAATCACACTTTGGGCCCTTCTTCTTTTGTCCTAGTATTAAAAATACCCCTTTTGAACAATAATTACCAAGCCCAATTCCACTTCACTTGGGTCTAGGCTCCAATACAAGCTAATGGGTTTGTTTAAACTATATCTCGGGTTTACCCAAAGCTATTAACTCGGGATTCAAGACGTTACACTTAGTGTGTCTCTAAAGTGCAAACAAACACAAGTCAAAACACAATTCAGTTCAAATAAAAATATTCACAGTCCAAGTCATAATATTTAAATTATAGTTCGAATCAACCAATAATCATAATCATAATCCGAATCAAACAATGACAGTCATAAATTTAAATATTATGTAAATGCTCATGCACTCACTTGTACTCCTGTCACATTATCCGAATAGTGGGTTCTCCAGAACTACACTATCTACAATCAAACCACACCATATGAAGTGGGGTCTTCCACAAAGGTAGAGACCATAGAATCTGAAAATGACATTCACCCAATCGAGTGAATACGCTGAACTTTCCCTATTAAAAATCGTCCCAATATGACCTGCAAATGACATACATATTTGATGTCCGATCCGATCCGATTCGAATAACAATATTTCATGAACAAACACTGTGAAGCACATATATTCCAATTTCGATTCCCATATACAACACAATCTCATATTATGTATACACAACAATATTCCGATTTCAAAAATCAAACATGTAACAAATGGCATTTTCACATTTATCTCAATCAATTTCATAATCAGATATGCTTTCAAACAATTTTCAACCAAACAAGTCATTAAGCATTCAAATAAAATAATGTAGTTCGGTTGGTTCTTGCAATACGAGTCGGTTCAAGATTAGTGGGTAATGACGGGGGGATGGTAATTCTGATTCCAATTTGATATCTCAAAATATTCAATTCGAGTCGAAAATTGAGCAGCGGTGTTTCGGTCTGATTAAGAGGCTGTTAGACTCCAGAGGGGCGGCAGAGAGCAATCGTAGGGGCGGCAAATGGCACCCAGGGGCAACGGTGGGGACACCTGGGGGAGTAGAGGGCACCCCACAGCCAACCAAGGTGCTACCCAACCCACACCAAGCCGATTCTACCATCTCATGCTCAACCCTGAGTAACAACTTGCAGTTCGGTTCCTCCTTCAAGACTCGAACAAGCACAATGATGAAGGGTGAGGGTAGTGGGGTGGCTTTCGGCTGATCATTACGACGTCCTTGGTCATCATTTTGAGTGACGGAGGTGATAGGAATGAAGGTGAGCAGAAACTAGGTGGAAAAGGACCAACGAAGCTTGAAGAGATAAAGAAGAAAAGAAAGGAGAAAGCTGGGCGTGGATGGAAGAAACTAAAAGGGCTAAGATTTGTGTTATAAAGGAAAAATGGTTAACCACTTTAAGTCCTTGTATTTATTAGGATTTTCAATAATGACTCAAAAGTTTTCTTCTTTTACAATATAGTCACTAAAATACCTAAGAATTCAATTTAATCCTTAAGATAAATTTTAGGGATTCTAAGGAACATTTCTAATTTTTAGGGTTTCAAATTGGGGGGGGGGGGAATTGGGGTGTTACAACGTGCCTTGTATCTTTCAAAAAGACAAGTGGCCTTAAACTTAACCTTATAAACCTACTTGTAGCTAATAGCAGTCTTACTCGGTGGTAGAGGTACCAAAGTCCATGTACAATTGTTTATAAGATCTTGAATCTTCTTTTGCATAGCCTGAACCCACACATGATTTGTTTGGCTTGGAAATTAACTTTTGACTGAACAATAGTGGATGTTTATAAGAAATGTGTTTAGAAGTAGGAAATTGTTTGGAAGAATTAGAGGATTGGCAAGAACACAATCATTCAACCATTGTGGAGGCCTAAGCTTTCTAGTTGACTTTCTTAATTCTGGAGGATGTATAGATTGAATCGACGAATGTGACGTTTAACTAGAAGACTAAAGTGAAGACTGTTTAGAAGACTAAATAAGAGACTCACAAAAAATAGGTTTATAAGAGGTATCTAAGGATAAGTCACTTGTTGAGAAGGGAACAACAAAACTTAAATCTCGAGGAGCAATATGGCAAAAAAGCAACATTTGAAATATAAGGCTGAGAAAGAAAAAAAAACTTAAGAATCAGAATTTTGAGGAAATTTGAAAGGAAAAATTGACTCATGGAATGTAACATCCCTAGTAACAGAAGAAAAAAAATTCGACAAGAGATAACCATAAAGACCAAAGGTATAGTCATAGGAGAAAACTTATCATGAGATGTGAAGCATGAAGCATAACAAAGATAATCAAATTGTAGACACTATATTTGTTCGGCTCCATTTGATATTAATATATATAGTTGTTTTCTTTTAGTGTTGATTGATAGGTATTAATTGTGTTGGTCTAAACGAATATTTATGGAAATTTAATTTTGAGCTTGTGAATTTGCATTTTAAATGATATTTAGTTGTATGAAATTTCGAATGTAGTTGATTATTATTAAAATATTTAAATTAAATAACTAAATATTAAAATATTATTATGTTTTGTTTCTAGGTTACAATGCAAGGCCCGATTACAACCAAATATGGACCCAATGGGTCAAGACCCAACAAGAATAGATCAGCAAGCTCAACTTAGTTACCCAACATAATTAGGGTTTCGTCCAAACCCTAGGTTTCGTGCGTCGCCGCCACCGTTACTGTTGCTCAGTGCCATTGCCATCACAAATTCGCAACTGCTCACTCCCGTGCCGCCTGAAGTCGCTGACTGCTCTGATGCTGCCGTTTCAAAGCTGCCATCAACTCATTAGTTATAAGTACCAGAATCCAATAGTGAGAATTGTCACTTGATAAAGGTTGCATGACAAGAACCATGCCCGGATTGTCAGACTGGTGGTGCAATTAGTATAAGTTGCTCCCATTGTCGAAGGTGTCATTCATGGAGTTAGGCATGATGAAGAAGAGAGAACAAAAAACAGCAAGAAGAAAAGATGTATTATGATACCATCCATATAACAGTTTGAGAAACTAAAAGTTATTGAACAAGAAGCAGGGAAGTGAAGAATCTGCTTTCATTCGATACTCCAGGAAACAATACAAAGTTGATATATGTACAAGGCAACACTAACTAATTAACTAATCCTAAAACAAAATAATCAACTCATAACTGATATAACAGTTAATCTAATATTTTCCATTAACAAATTTAAGAATCCTATACAATGAGGTATATTAAAACAAAATTAAGAGATGAGCAGTTGGAAAATGGGAAACACGTTCTTTGACTTGTAATTTTTGAAGCCTCAAGGCACCAGAAACTGACGGATTCGGTAACATGAGTAGCGCAGTTGTGAGAAATGGGAAAAATGAAATAAAAAATAGACTTAGTGGTATTTTTAAAAAAGTAAAATTATCAAAATAAAATTATAAAAATAATTGAATGATTAAATATATTATTATTATTATTTTAACGAAGTTAATAGTTTGGAATAAAAGAAATAAAAATTTAAATTTAAGAAAATAAAATTTCTCAGAAATATTTTAAAATATAATTTGATATAAAATTTATAATTTAAAAAGTAGAGATGCATTTGATCCTATTACATAATACAGGCATGTTTCTGCTTAAATTATATAATAGAAGCATGTTTTTGTTAAAGTTGTTTTCTATTTGTCAACTAAAATATTTCATCGTGATCTGGGGTGTTTAATTTATCTAACTCACATACGTTATCATATATAGTCCCCTCTCCCTCCAATCGATTCTCGAAACAAAGAAACTCCATAACCAAGACCATACGATGCTCTCTTCTCTTCCTATCTCAACCTCTCTTTCTGTTTCTCCAATTTCTCCGCCGTCTACTTCCCGCGCTAGATTCCGGCCACATCTAGCCACAGCTACCTGCGCCAGTTCTTACACTTCGCAACAAGAGAAACCGTCGACGAGCGGATATCTGAGCCGTCCAGGGATGGCAGCGTGCACGTCGTTGTACGATGTTCTAGGGATTCCCGCCAGTGCTACGAATCAGGAAATCAAAGCGGCATACCGCCGATTGGCCAGGGTTTGTCATCCGGACGTGGCGGCCATTGATCGGAAGGGTTCATCGGCAGATGAGTTCATGAAGATCCACGCGGCCTACAGAACCTTATCGGATCCCCAAAAACGGGATGTTTATGATAGTAAGGTTTTCCGGAGAGGCCAACGGCCGTTGACTTCGGATTCTAGGTTTTCAGGATACAGGGGGAGGAGTTGGGAGACCGATCAGTGCTGGTGAACGAGTCAACTCTATCTCTTTCTCATTCACGCTACCGAGTTGGATGGTCGGAACTCAGTGAACGGTTTTTAACTCCCAAAAATATGTACAGTTATAAAGTAAACAGCTCAGGTGAAAAAGAAAGGAAACGAGAAAAAAGAATACGACCGGAGAGTCTGTAGGGAGAAATCAGGGTCGTTGATAGGGCCATGCAAGAGCTCTGGTCTTCTTTTTTTAATTTGGCCTTTGTGCTTTGGCTGATGCATAAACAGAGACTCAGAAATCGTTGTACCTTTACTTGATTAATACGAAAGAATCACCCTGTACGTGAACGTGTATGACGTGAACTACAAGATGCATAAATGGCATACTTTTAAGAATCCAATACATTACATAAATAAAGTGATTCGTTCGTATTTCAGAGTAGAATTAGAATATTTTTGACAACCCAAAATGTATTGGCATAGACCAAAGAAATGTTTCTCAAATATTATACTTAATTTCCAATTAAAAAAACAAGTAATTCAGTATATGTAGATACGATCTAAGACACAGATTTTAAAACAATAGATTAAGTCACATAAGTTTATACGTATTACCTCAGATTTAATTGATATTTAGAATAAATTTTAATATTGTGAACAGTTACATTAATATAGTTAATTGTAACACTAAAATTATAATGGTAAAAAATTAAATGAAATCGAAGATTAATCGGTACAATTAAAGAATAGAAACAAAATTATTAATTCAAATTTATTTGAGTTATAATTAACGTTTTTAAAGCTTGAATTAAATATGGATGGAGGGACCGCCTAACATGTCCAAAAGCTAAATGGAAAAGAGTGATATTAGCCGCTGTATTGAGTAGATGCAAAAGACGAAATGAAATAAACCTTTGGGACCATACATCAGTTTGGAAGCACATTGCCACCGTCTTCTTCCACTACTACTGAACTTGCGTATCTGGAACAAGCTTTTATATTTCAGCTTCATTCATTGTATTATATGTTGTACAACCTTTATTATTCAATCCAATTCCAGCTGTTCATTTCGACAAGAATTTGGCAACATTTCCATCCATCCCATCTGTTTTGTTTTTTCAACTTCATACATCAAATGATTGAAAGTTATATTTAAATAGATATTATCTTGTATTTATCTTATATTAATAAAATTATTTTATATTACTACAAAAATCAAATTTAAATTAACGTACACATGAATTTAATAATAAAAATAACATTTTCACCATTTATATCATACTAAGGTTTTATATGTATGTATGCATATACATATAATGAAGCCATATTCAATAAACAATCGAAATGAAGATGTGACTTTGATTTAAAAAGATAAATTATATGATAGTCGTTTAACTACAAAGATTTTAATTTGATAATTAATATTTTAATGTTATTAATCAATTTATTTATTTATTTAAATGCTGATAAGTAAGTTATTAATATTAACATTTGACGAGTTGATGGTTAGTTAATATAATTAAACATTTGATCCTCATTGTTTGTATTTTTATCAATTTAGTTTTAATTTTAATTTATTTTAATATATTTAATCATTCAATCATATGGCGACACATGTTATATTGAGAAAATTAAGACCAAATTCATAAAATATTTAAGTAATGAAGACCAAATACTTAACTTTTATTAACTATCATGCCGTCTCATCCATCAAATATTAATGCCAGGTGATTGGTTAATATCATTAAATAATTAAATGATATAATTAATAAAATTATCCTCATAATTAAGTGGTCATGTACGTGGTTTATGCAATTTAAAAATACAAAGGAGGATGAAAATATAAACCAGCAAGGAAATCCTTCCTCCCCTTTCGTTTCCTTAGCTAATTGCTACACAGTAGTGCTTATTGCAACAACAATGTCACCTTTACAGTTCACAGTTTTGAAGCACAATTCATCCAAATATTATACTAGGACGCGCTAGCCTATTGGAGCAGCTTTACAAACATGCATGCTTGCATTCATATTCGATTCTCTCAAGGTCGGACGAATGGTTTTAAATTAGGGACACGAATTTTTAAAATTTTAGAAAGTGATGAACTTGAATAATTCTGTCAAACATCAGCTTAATTTAAGGATAAAAAAAGCAGAAAATGGACGCGACCGAAAATATTATGAAAATCATATTTTTTTCGGTTTAGGTCACACCTTTTCTCGGCTTTAAATTAAGTTACCTTTCCTTATGTTCTCCCAATAAATTTATAAATCCTAAGCGGACGAAAACATATTATCAATAGAAAGTTATATATATATATATAATACTATGAAAATGTTAGGGAGAACAACTAGTATAACCCCTCAGTCCATCCCTGCATTGCCCCAACTTCCATCCACGAATAGATTGCACCAAACAACTGTTCCTTACCAATCTGTTCTTAATGGACCTGAGGAGCACCTTCCTGAAAATGATGGTAGAAAAAGTCACCTTAAAATGTTCCTTCATCAATTTGTGGAGGTGAAATATTTAATGTTAGGGATAATGAACATACAGATGTACATTGCTTAATCAATAAGACATTTATCGACAACAAAGTCCTTGAAAAATACACGCATTAAACATATACATATGCAGACACAAGCTATACAGAAAGGTTGAAAAAAAGAAGGAAAATAACTTGATTATTATCATTAAACCATGATATTTCATAAAGCAAACCCAGGACACTTGTTCATCCAGGAAGTGCCAACGAAAATAGAAAAACGGAAGGGGGAAACAAATAAGAGCAGCATTTGAGAGCCAATTGTTTGATTTTCACTTGAAAAATGGCATCCATCCCGCAAAACAGTTGAGCAAAGGGACTTACCTAGAAGATGAACCACTGCCCAAGCCAGTATTGTTCCCACGTATCACTTATCAGCACATTGCACTTTTACATGCATGTATGTGTTGAGCAAAGGGAACATTCACCAAAAAATGGTTTTTAGTCTAAATTCATCCTTCACATAAACGACACTCAATTTGGGTTTAGTGTATCCATCAATTCTGTAAGTATTGAAATGCATTGAACTCCAACGTCCATTTGAACAATATTTAGAAAGTCACCAGCTTCATTGCTCAAAATTAAATTCAAATAATCACCCCTGCTGCCCTGTTCGTAAGATATCTTCTCAGCTGTAGAACTCAATCAGTTATGTTTCCTTGCTTCTCTGTATCTCAGCTTCGACGATGTTCGCATGGTGTTTGCGAAAATCGTCAAAGAAGTTCATGCAGTGACCGCGTGGATGGTGCCTGCGCTGGCCGCTAACTACACGATGTGTCAAGATTTCTTTGCTCGGCATAACAGAATCCGATTGCTCATAAATCATTTGGCCTTTGAAACAATGCAAGAACATAGCAAAAATATACAATTGCTCATCAAATTTATTATCAGCACCGGGAGAATGGTTTGATTTATGGGGCGACTCTCAAAGACAGAGAATTGGAAGATCCTCTGCTAGACTGCTACAAAGGGTTATAGGAAGGCAATGGCAACTAGAACTTAATAAACATGGAGCATTGCCACATTTCGCCGCTTTCTTAGAAAGGAACTGATGAGGTTCAGTTTAATTCAGCCATGGAAGTCGGGGATTTTAGCTTAACTCTCTTGCTTGTAAGCACGTTGTCGATCAGCTGTTGAAGATAACCGAGAAGGCAAAGTTGGAACTGTCTAATTCCTTGTATGATTGAAAATCGTAAATTAGAGCTGTATCATATTATAATATCAAAACAATTATTGACAAATAAATAAACACGATAAAAAAATAAAGAACACCAATAAAACCCAAAAGGAAAAAACACATAATTTCACTAATATAAAAAAATACAATAAAAGAGTATTTTGGTGAAAGAAAAACTTTATATTTAACCCTCTACACTTAGTATCTATTTATTGGGATATATACTTGATTACAAAGTAAAACCAACTAAAGTAGAAATCTAACAAATTTAAATATTAATTAATTTGTGCTATTTTGAATTCGAGTTAAACTCTAACAAATCTTCACCTTGACGCGAATTATAAAAGTGTGAAAGTTTCGAGACAGAACGCTCAAATTCGATGAGGCACCTAAACTCAACAAAAACCAATCTTTCACCTTAACGAACAAGTTCTCCACCTCTTCCACAAAACCCCTTAAAAGAGTAATCTTCAGTAATATATATCGACCAAATCCTAACTTTTTTTAAGTATGGATTTAGCCTTCACATCGACATTATCATAAATGCCAACTTTGCTCACAAATGTATCACCACGAGCAATATCATGCATAACATGATCCTGATCATCAATGATAATTCTATCTTCAAATTCTTTATGTCCACGAAATTTAAATCTTTTTTACTTCACATAATCGTTCTGCCCACAATTATCTTGTTCAAAAAAAAGTTTTATTTTGCTAGATTTAGTCAAGACATTTTTACCAGTAACAACATTATTTGACAGGAAGAAATCATCAACTCCATTAACTAAAACTGTTGAATCATGTAGAATATAAAACTTAACAGTCCTTGCAAATCTTTATAGCTCCATCTTCACTGGAGAATTTATACCCTTTTGAATCTAGGGTACTTAACGAAATTAGATTTTCACTCAAATTTGGAACATGTTTCACATTATCAAGTGTTCGAATATTCCAATTGATCAATTTTAATCTTGATTGTGCCAATATCTGTAACTTTACAAGAGACATTATTTCCAAAAAATACATCACATGTAGATATAGCTTTATACGTCACAAATCAGTCACGATTAGGACTCATATGAAAACTGCTACCAGAGTCAAGTACCACTCATCACTTGTTATAGAGTTGTCGTCAGCCGCAACTAGGAGTTCTCCGTTATCACACTCCTTTGCTACACCGACTTCACTAGATTTTTCGGAGTTTTTCTCTTCAAATTCTCTCTTAGTTTTATTCTGTAACTTGTAACACTCTGATTTAATGACCTTTCTTTTTACAAAAGTAACAAGTTTTATCTCGGTTGAAAGATTTTGATATGTCATCTCTTTCATTACTAGAAGAACACTCGCCTTTTCTTTCATGGTCTGAGCTAGTTGATCCATGCACCACGAGACCCTCTGTCTGGGGCTTAGAATCAGATACAAGATGCTTCATCTTGTCAAACGAGTACATACCATTGTTCACCTCTTCAAGAGTAAGTGTTTCACGACTGTACATAATCATGTCGCTGAAAGATAAGTAAAAAGGAGACAATGAACACAAGATGGTCAATCCTATATCTTCTTAATCATACTTCACTTCTAAAGTCTCTAGATCAGAGACAGTTTCCTTGAATGTGATCATGTGTTCTTCAAGAGACGAACATTCCGCCAACTTGAGCGAATAAAGACACTGCTTTAAGTGTAACTTACTGGTTAACGATTTTTGCATGCATAGTTGCTTCAATTTCGCTCAGAAAGAAGCATCCGTTTTTTTTCTTTCAACACATCATGCAATATTTGATTTGATAAGTGTAAACGGATTTGATATATGGGTTTACGATCATTACATTTTCTTCGTCCGTCCAATTTGACATTGTCTTCTTATCAAACTCTTCCAATGCATCATCTAAGTCCAATTTGTGCAATGACATCTCGAATCTTCACCTGCCTCAACGAGAACCTAATGTTTTGATCTAACAACAGAATATCATACTTTATTGTTGTCATTATCTTGAATATGAAGTTCTTATACCAATTTATTATAATATCGGAATGATTAGCAGCAAACAAATAAACCCGATCGAAAAAGAAAAAACAAATAACACTAAGATTTATGTGGAAAACCCAAAAGGAAAAATCACGCTAACTTAATATGAAGAAAGAAAATACAAGAGGATTTTGGTGAAAAAAATTAATATCTAACGCCTTACCCTTGGTATCTATTTAAAGGGATAAATAATTGATTAAAACTAAATAGAGTGGAAATTTATTTTAATAAAGTTATTTACTTTTAATCAAACTAGGATTATTAATTTTTCAAATTTAAATATTAATTAATTTGTGTCATTTGAATTCGAGTCAAACTCTAACATATCAGTCTAGAGGCTCCAGGGGATTTCATTGACTCGATCTTGCTCGAGTCTGTTCTAATGGAGTGTACATACAGTATCGACCTTGGGTCATGGTATTGAGTTTACGCTTCTTTGATATGTCCTCACTATTTTTCTTGAATGGAACGGCCAGAAAGGAGTTCATATAATCTTATTTAACTAGGGAAATAATTATCATTGACGTCAACTGCTTATATTTTTTGTTTGAAATTCCTCGTACACCCAGGGCCGCCAATCTCAAAAAGATTGAAAAAACCCCAATTCTAATGCAGTTTGTTTATGTCTATTGGTCGAGAATTGGATAATATTAATTAACTAATCCCACTTCGCCTAATTCTTTATATATTTTCTTCTCTCTAGAAAGAAAGCCCCTTGCCTATGTGTAGCAGCCAAATACTGTATTACTCGGAACATATTGGAGCTGATAATGATATTTATACCCAACAAGTTGCACGAATCATCCCCTGCTAACAACTTGCATATCAGATGAAAGTCATGGATGAAATTATGTTGCCTGCAAATATAAGATTACTTGATATGTTCATATACCTATCAAAATCATAGTCTCAAATTGCAAGCCTGATGGACTTGATTTATTCTTTGCTTTTTCTTCTCTCAAGTCCATTTATATATGATGAATTTGGAGCCGTCCTTTCTGTAACCTTAAAGGGACAGGCAGATTCCCAATGAGCCTCATAGATACTTTCAAAATCCAATTTAACCATTGATGTTTTCATCTTGTTTTATTTTAGTATTTGTGTTTTCTTTCTTTGAAGTCGGCTCATGGCGACAATTTGTTTTGGTTTTTCACAGTAATGGCCAACTTAACAATTTGCAGGTTCAGCATGTGCCCTCAGCATACATGCTTCTTTTCCTGACCACACTGCCCATATCTCTTCTATAACACATCACATGGTACCCAGATTTATTCAAGCTTTTATGTTCAAATTACCTTCTATATATACATAAGCATTCTTAGTACACCCCCTGCTCCATCTTATTCTAATCCTTTTTCAGTCTTCTATCTTCTGTCCTACTTATTCAATGGCTACAATTCAGATTTCACTTGTATTGGTTGTGTTATTCTTGCATCTGCTCTCAGGTATCAATCTTCTTTTCCAGTTAATCTCTCGTTGGTGGCCTTCTTCTTCTTCTTCTTCTTGGTTTTAAATCGTGCTCATGTTCTTGTTACAGGTGCTTGTTCGTCGACGTTCACGGTTGTAAACAAATGCAGCTATACGGTTTGGCCTGGGGTATTGTCAAGTGCTGGTATCCCACCACTTTCACCTACAGGTTTCATTCTTCAACCGGGGCAATCAACATCCATCGATGTTCCGACGTCTTGGTCAGGTCGGCTATGGGGTCGAACTCTATGCACCAAAAACTCTTCCGGAAAATTCTCTTGCCTCACTGGAGACTGTGGCTCGTCCACACTAGAATGCTCCGGAACTGGTGCCATCCCTCCTGCAACCCTTGCAGAGTTCTCACTGAATGGTGCCGGGGGATTGGATTTCTATGATGTTAGCCTTGTCGACGGATACAATCTACCGATGATGGTTGTCCCACATGGCGGAACTGCAGGTAACTGTAGCTCAGCTGGATGTGCTGTGGATTTGAATGGAGACTGCCCTCTAGAGCTCAAGGTGGTCGATGGGAGTGAAGGTGTGGCATGTAATAGTGCATGCAATGCTTTCAACCAACCCCAATATTGCTGCAGTGGAGCTTATTCGACTCCGAATACGTGCAAGCCGAGCTCTTACTCAAAATATTTCAAGACCGCGTGTCCTACAGCTTATAGCTATGCCTACGATGACGGAACGAGCACCTTCACTTGTGCCGGTGCCAATTATGTTATCACGTTCTGCCCTGCCCCTTCTACCAGGTACTAAATGCATTGCAAGTATCATCATACAGAACATATTCAAATTAGTTGCTGATGTTGGTTTCTTATGTTAGCAGCATCAAGTCGTCCAATCCGATGGCGGTCGACGTCTCGGCTGGTTCAGGGCCTTCATCATCATCAGCTCTCATTGCTGGTACACTCACCACTTTGGCCGCAATATGGCAGTTGTGGCATCTCTTTTGACAATGCCAAGCTGCTAACCGACAAACATTAGGAAACTCGGCAACTCGCGACCAACCAGTTTGGTCCCGAATCTAAAACATCCAAATGATATCAGATTCTCTTCGGCCTGCAATTTGCTTTCCTCAAATTCGCCAACTTGAAGCTATTGTAATATACGTACAAAAGGTAGAAACAGATTTACATGAGACATTTACTGGGGGCAGACAAGATGAAGACTTGTTTTGAATCGATTATTAGACCTAAGTTGCAGGAAAAAGACAGTGGTTAGTTGGCTAACGTTAATGTTTTGTTAGTGTTGCCTGCTAATGCCAACGGAGATGACTTCATTTGTCTCTATTTGTTCATACGGATGTGCAATTTTTTTTTCTTACCTTTTTATCCATGTTGCTATTCTGATGACAACTATTTAATGAATTGTTTAATTAAGATACATGGTGTGGGTTTGGCCGTCGCAAACTATATCATTTTACCCGATGCTCTTATTATTATATAATTTATTGCATTAATACGATGTTTAAGTATAATTATCGATCAGGGTAAATAAATTTAGCTGGTTGAATAAGTTATTCTTCTTTTAAGGTTTCACTTTGATTAATTCAGATCGATCTATTTCGTACACTTGATTCTAGTGGATGAATCTCCCAATAGAGATTTTATGTATATACAAAGACTCAAACTTAAGACCTTATGTAAACGATATTAACCTGCATATCATTTGAACCAACCCTTATTGGTAATATTTTATTTATTCATAAAAGAAGTAATCAATGATGTTGATTTTAATTATCGAGAAAGTATAAAGAGATTGATTATTAGGCATTTGTAGGTAGTTATAATTAATTTATTGTTACCAACATGTGTTGATTTAAGTGGTAAGTAGTTTGATGTTACTTAATAAGGTTTCGAGTTCAAGTCTTTGTATATGCAAAAAAATCTTGTTGGAAGACTCGACATGAGTCTTGTAACTGATAGCGCAACAAAATAAAATATTATTAAATATTAAAATTATCTTTATATCGATGATTAAACTCATGAATTAACATTATGACTATGATTTTTTTACTAGATCTTGAACATATTGATTTTTCATATTTTATTTGCCCTTTTTATTTTACTTTAAGTTTGAATTATAAAATTATTTAGAAGATATGTTTAGTGATTTTATTCTTGTTGCTATGGCCGATGACAATTATTCAAAAGATTTATTTAGTAGAGAACACATGGTGGGGGTATGGCCGTCACAACTCTGTCTCACAACCACATACTTTAAGTATTAATAATAATTAATTGCATCTGATCTGATGTTCAAGTAAAGTTTTCAATTTATCATGGGTGGATACGAACATGTCAATATATTTGCATGGTAAGTTAATAAAAATCCATTATTCGGAGTGAGTCAAACAAGAGAGCGTAGGTAGTGGTCAAGGATTAATAATGCTAGGAATAAGAGAGAGAGGAGAGGGTATTTTTTTAAGTTTTTCCAAAGTGCAATTTCGTTGCTCGAAAGAAGATAAGGGAGCGACAAGAGTTAAGTGTAGTGCGACGATATAATTGAGAGGGACAAGACAATCACGAATTTTGAATATGAAAAGCAAAATATGCATGAAAAAAAGGAAGATAATTGATGCAATGTTTCAGTGCAGTCATCCATGTTTCATTCACAGGGAAGTCAGTCACTATGACAAGGTTCCCCGCATAACAAAATGACAAAATAGCAATAGAAGTTGATTTGGCAACTGCATGTACATGTGAGTCATGTTCCCTTTAAAGATAACGACCATACTGCACATACCTGCCCACCACGTCAACCCAAAAAGAAAGTTTCCAACCAACAAACCATACACACTTACATATTTGTAGGTGATGGGATGAATCCGGCCACTGCAGTTTATCTGGTGATTCGTATCAATAACGGATAACAATGATCTTTTTCGTAGCCAGTCCAAGACTCATCTCTGTTCATGAACTGTTGATGATGCGTCCAAATTTCAGCGTCGTACATCTCTGTTATGCTGAAAAGCAAGCCTTTCTCCTCGATTTCCTCTAGAAACTTATCTAGTGAGTTGCCTCTTTTTGGGCTGAAAAATATAGCTTCAGAGTGTCCTGCTTTTTTCAACAGGAGCTCGGTTATTCGAGCAAGATCTTTGTGGAACTCCTTGAAAAAGGTGCTGTCGAGAATCAGTAGTTAAACTAAGAATAAGAAAGAAGATAAGTACACTATGGATCAGCTAGATCAACTATAAAATTCTTGACTAGGAAAGAAACTATGGCTCAGGCAAGGCGGAGATCGGACTGTGTGTGACCAGAACTTGAACCTATATATAAGAAAGGAGAAGATACAATTTGCTAATCCTAAAGTACTTACAATACAGTCAATGTTAAGGCATATAATGATCGATATTTGATTATTCTCTTCATTTTCATGTATGATAAAAAAAAGATTGAGCATGATGTATATGCTATTCATAACATATTAAAGATAACAGGCATTACCAATCACTTGCAACAACGATGTCAAAAGTGTGCAAGAGATTTGAAACTTCTTTCTGATTCCAGTGCAATTGCATGGACTTCACTCTTGTTCCATCAAATGCTTCGGAGTTTGTGTTAATATTATGCAGAATATCTCTACGTTAAGGAACCTCAAAACACATATAAAAGTGAATAAGAATGAAAGAAGAGGAATTACATGGACTATTGTTTCCACAACAAATAATATAACACAAAAGAACCATTTATATTCTCTGTATCCAAAAAGAACAAACAAAATTCAAAATTATAAGAGAGCCAAAGGTTTTAAATCAATGATGTCAAAATAAAAAACAACCATTATGAATTGTTAAATGCTAACTGTGTAAACACAATAGCAAAAACAGATAAATTTAGGGGGCCGTAATCAATTTTCGAATAGGCTAGCAGATTTAAAATCTCAGCAATCATTCAAGGCCGCCTTTAAAAATTAGCTCGGCAAGCAACTGCCGCTAACAGTGAAGTTTCTCATCAATACCATTACCAATTTTATGCAGACTGCCGATTCATATCAGTAGCAAGTTCTTAAGCGTAATAGATGCAACAATCACAAATAGGATGCAGCACTGTTCAAACCCAAATAAACAGTCACATATCAATTATCAGGTCCACTCAACCACAATTTCCTCAGTCATTTTCTGAAACAAAGCATGTATGCCTGACAAAACAAAAAACGTCTACTTCACTTTCATACAGTCTACATCTAAATGTCTCAGGATGACTAACTACTTTAAATGGGAAACTTTCAAATACACATCAGAATAACATATTTTTCATTTCCAAAGAGATTACACTAGAAACAACGCTCATAAGCCATTAAGCACTACATACCAGAAACCTTTATATTTCACACAAGGTTGTTAAAGAGTGAAATAAAAACAAAATATAGGCAAAACCAAAACTTTGTTGTAAAAATCATCTCTTTCTATTTTGCACATTAAATTAAGATCAATTTTTTTCGTACATGATGAAGTCAAAAGGATACAATCAACCACTTGAGGATTTCCATCTGAAATCACTACTTCTAATGCCTCTGTGGCTGCAGCAATGACTAATCCAGCTAAGCCGTAACCTGATCCAAGCTCGATGACATTTTTAGACCTGAAATATTAGAAGAAAAATGCAGAGACGTTATGCACGTGCAAAGGAATAAAGAATAACTCCCAGAACAACATAAGCAGCCAAATCATGATACCATCCTGGTTCTCAAGCTCAAGTGATTTTGTAAAAGAAGACAACCCTATGTACTAACCTGAACATGTCTGCATGAGATAAACAATAATAGGCAAGGACATCTTCAGACGGCCACTGACCTGTATATGAACATTTAAAATGAGAAACGAAACAAATAAGAAAGAAAGAAAAAGCTTGGCACCCTAGACAATTACAAAGGAATGTTCAAGCTGATCTCTAACAAACATTGAAATCTGAGGAAAAAAAGGTGTCGCATTTCCATCCTATCATTTCATTTATCTCCTAAAGATTTTCAACTGATGTGATACATAATAAATAATCAGAGTGACCGAAAGAAATTAACAAATGGCCATGATGATAAAGACAGAAAAATTTATTATATATCTTCGTTTCCATAAGTTAGCACTATCAATCCACCTAACAATGAACCAGGCACAATCTTCCTCAATAAAGATAACCTTGACAATTAATACCAGTGGGAAAAGTTTAAAATTTTAAACTACTAAAGATAAACTGATAAACAACGGATTAAGGAACTCCAAAAGAAGGAAGGGTAAAAAGCTTACAGACGAGTCCAGTATTGTCAATGTTGTGTCTATTACAAATCTCAAAATCACTGAAGTCGGCATTATCATCCATTCTCTGACTGCATCAAGTTCCAAATACAACGTACATGTTCAATGTTAGAACACTTCCTTTGAAGCTTGAGTTTTAGTGCTAAGCAAATTAGGAAGGAAAAAAAACAATTTTTAGCTATAGAGTTTAAAAGATTGGTTTCTGAGCTACCAAAACAACAATCCACTGTTTCAGCAATGATAATTCATTAACAAAAGGAAGAGTGTTAAATTCATTGACCTTCCACCAAGTCTTCGAAGAAAAAGGGGAAAAAGGAGTACATGAAAACTAACGTTAAAACAAGCTTGGGACATCCGTGAATGGGCAAAGTGTAGCAGAATCGGGCATCTCTAGACTCGTGATCATGATGGAGTAGCTGGCACTGTATCAAGTTGAATCCTTTTGCTGCTTTTCTGGAAATGAGCTTCAATCCCAATTGGGACTCACCTTCTAAACAATGATTAAGATCAGTAGTCAAAACTAAACACTGCAATCTAAAACAAATAGAGATCAGTGGATTGAAAAAGGGTGCCTGGATTTTTGGCGCGGGAAAGAACAGCCCGTCGAAGGATTTTCCATCTCAATGAAGAAACTGAAGGGTTTGAACTTGCACTGTTACTGTTAGTTTCCATTGAACTTTCTAATTTGTGGCGACAGATTTGTTGGCTTCGAAATTTTAGCATTACATTTTCCCCCTTTCTGAAGGGGAAATGACAGGAATACATAATCCTGTTTTTTTTCTAATTAATAGTTGGTCTAATTCTAGTCTTAGTCCCTCTATTATGTTTATATCTAATATTATATCTTTATACATTAATCTAACATATTTTAATCCTCCACTTTTATCATTAGTAAATGTAAATTGATAACATTATTAATTGATATCCTTAATGTATTAAGGTGATTTTTTAAATACAACCTCAAGCATTCATTTCAGTATTCATCTTCTGTACCAACTACAGTTTGTGATTTACTATAGAATCATCTCTCGATGAAAAAATTATCGAATGTAAATGGCTTTTCTAGATCAAGAAGAATGTTGAAGGTTTGTCAAACGATTTAAAGCAAGATTTATGACTCAAAATTTCTTTCAAGTTCATGGTTCTGGTTTTCCTGACACGGTTAGTCTTGGTGTACATTCTTGTACCATCAATTAGCTTAGTAAACGAACCAAATGTTCGCTGAAAGTTCGTTTATTTAATAAACGAGCGAATATGAATAAGATTTTTATGATCATTTACAAAACGTTCAATTATCCGTTCGTTTATGATCATTTATGTTCGTTCGTATATGTTTATTTATGTTCGTTCATTTATATTTAGCCTAATCTCCAGATCCGTTTGAAATATTAATATCTAATGAATTTTAACCTTAAACTCATTAAAACCCAATTAATTTTAAACCCAAATAAAAATACTCAAATTAATTAAAGAAAATATAAATCCTAAAATTATTTGGAAAGAAAAAAACCTCTTATCAAATATAAACTTGTTCGTTTATGTTCGTTCATTTGTGTTTGTTTGCGTTCGTCCATTTGTGTTCGTTTATCATTTTAACGAACAAAACAGAACAAACTAAATTTTAAATAAACGAACACGAATGATGAGTGTTCTAAATTGATATTATTTACTTGTTAATTCTTCCATGTTATCAATTTATTACTGCAGATTTGGTTCTGTTCTACTTATTTTCGTGCATGAATCGATTTTCCAGAAATAGTAGTAAGAAGGACGCAATCTGTATTTTTTTATTATCCAATCGTGGTTGGAGACATAAGTACAACACTGGACATGACGTGGTCTGACATGGCTATTTTTAGAAGGTCAAGTCAGCATAGGCAAATTTTAGAAGTAGTCTAGTTAGCACTACATGAGGAGATCTTTTAGGAATTTAAGATTTAAGTTTGAATTCAAAACACTTGGGATTATTTTTTAATGATTAGATAATTTACCTTTGAATTTCCATGTTATTTTTAGGGATTTAGAAAACTATAAATACCTTCTTAGGGTATAGCTTGAACATACTTAGATTTTATTTTGTTTACTTTGTTTTTATTTTAATAAAAAATTTCATTTTCTTTTTAACCTTTATTTTACTTTAAGCTTTTCACTAGTTTCTTAAAAATGTTAAGTATGATTTCTATCATGATTAGGTAATTTTCTCATTTAGCCGAGAGCTTAGCAACGACTCAATTCCGAATGTGAGAATTGAAAAGCACTTAAGATCTTCATATTACATTTTCAATTCTCTACAAACTTGGATTTGAATTTGACATTTCCTTTAAAAATCAAAACGCTTTCATTTCAAAAAGAGCTTGTCGGTCTGAATGTTGTTTGATTTAAAGTTGGGAGGAAGAATCAGCTAGTAGCAAGTTCGACTTCCACGAAAAAACACTTAGTGGCGGTCCGCTAAGGGAAATTGAGATCGGATTTTATTCTCATTGAGACAATATAATTCGAGTCGGACTTTTTCAATACTTAATATGTTTTGTGCTAACGACGATAGTCATAGTTAATCCAACCAAGGACTGAATTTCAAAGGTTGACTTGGGAAGATCAATTTACCAAAGAGAAAATTAAATTACAAGGGTTGGACCTTGTAGATTGTAATCGGCATGAATCTCGAAGTAAAATCTCTTTCGATGATCAAAGTGAATTGAGGCAAAGCAAAGCTTAAGGCTATTTCTCCATCATTATTTTCAACTCTTTTACTCTCATTCTTAGTTATTTTTACTTATTTAATTTTACATAACCTTTTTTTCACCAACCCCCTTTTCCTTTTTATTACAATTATCAGTTACCTAAATCAGAATCGACTCAATTATATGTTAGAAATTCCTCAGTCCCTGTGGATCGACCTTTTCTTCTCTTTACTATGTTTATTCCTTATCTATTTATTTATTTTGAGAAAAGGAATTTATTTGACAATGTACGACGCTTGTCAAATTGGCGTCGTTATCAGGGATTTCAATAAATTACTGATTTAGTTTATTTTTTTTTATTTATGACCAAGCATAACCCGAGAGAATTAGTAGACTTTGACCCAGAAATCATAGCGCGAGCTCATAGAATTGATGGACAAACGCTTTGAAAAAAAGAGACAATAGCGACAACAACAAGAACAATCAACTACATACAATGCACTTAGTTCTTAGATTTTTCAGTCATCAACATCCCTCATATGATTCGTATTATATATGTCCGGGCAAAATCTTTTGCCTGATTCTCATAAATAATTTTCGTTAAACTCTCCAAAAGTACTTTGCAGCCACGATAACGTGATTCGACCACCGATGAACGCTTGCAGGGAATCTCCTAGATGCTTCATAGATAAAGCATGTCAATCACCATATGTCACACAATAAATAACATTTTCATCTACCAGAAGTCACAAATGCATTGTAACATCCTCTAAGGTGATTGTGCACTTCCCACATGGAAGATGAAATGTGTGTGTCTCAAGTCTCCACCTCTCGATTAGTGCATAGATAAGACGATTTCAAATTTACAACCTCCAATAATTTTCGCTATGTAATCAAATCTAGCATCAGATAAATAGCTTAAGATATGATATGATGTGTTTATCTTATTATTACAAATAAACATTTATGATACACGATCATTATCCTAATTCATAAAAATTTACAAATAAAAGATTAAAATAATATTCAATAAAATATTTAAATAAAAAAATTAAATTAACATAATTAAATATTTTTACCATGTTGACAAAAGGAGATGAAATATGATTTTCATCCCATCGCTACAGTATACCTTCTATTTTTAAAACTGCACAAAATAAAAAATAGTAATTAAAATAAAAAAAATTAAATAAGCATATTAAAATAACAAAAGAATAATTTATACTTTAAATTATTTTCCCGTGACTTTTCAAATAAAATATCTTGTTATAAAGGAAAAAAGAAAAAAAATTATATATATATATATATATATATTGTGTGATTTAGAAGTGGGGAGGGGCGAGGAAGGGATTTTGACGGGATTGCTAGTTGAGAAAGGGAAGGCGTTTGTCCAGGACGCACCTCCCAACTGACGCAAGAATCTTCCGAAGACACGCCGCATAAAGTGCGTCTCCCAGCTGACGTGCCATCTGAACTAGAACCCAAGAAAAGTTCGATGTGAAAAATGCGCCTCCTTGATCTTAATTTCTAAACAGACACTAGTTTGATAAATATTAAGAAATGAGTATTTTTTTTAGATAATTTTTAAATAAAAAACCTTCCTAATAATATATTTAATAATATAACATTTAAATAATCTTATTTCGATAATAATCTAAGCCAACCAGATCAACCCTTTAACTTAAGCTATTACTGTAAAAGCAGAGCAAAGCATCAGCAACCCTGTTATAGCAAAAGCAAATTCAATACGAGGAATAGAAAGAAAATGGCGAGATACGACAGAGCGATCACGGTTTTATGACTTGGATTTGCAACTAATGGATGTAACGCTGTTTAGCTTAAGCATTTTAGATTGGGATTTTCTCGAAAGAGAAAATTGATCATTGCTCCAAGTAAGGAAAACTGATTTTGTGAAGGATTTTTCTTTTCACTCTAATAATTTATTTTGGTGATTAAGTCTGTAGGAATTTTATCATAAAAATATGCAAGGAAAACACTGGAGTTTTTGAAATTTCTCTAATCGAGCTATTTTTTTAACTTTTACTGCTTCTGTCTTGTAGATCGGTTAGGAAGATTGTGAATTTGGATGATCACATTGCATTGGCATGTGCTGGACTCAAAGCAGATGCTCGGGTCCTCATAAACAGGGCTAGGATCGAATGTCAAAGCCACAGGTTGACGGTTGAAGATCCAGTTACGGTCGAGTATATTACCTTATATTGCAAGTCTTCAGCAGAAGTATACTCAAAGTGGAGGTGTTAGGCCGTTTGGTCTCTCTACTCTGATCGTGGGCTTTGATCCATATAGTGGTGTGCCTTCACTATATCAGACAGATCCCTCGGGAACTTTTTCTGCTTGGAAAGCTAATGCAACCGGGAGAAACTCTAATTCGATTAGAGAGTTCCTAGAGAAGAATTATAAGGAAACCTCTGGGAAAGAAACTGTTAAGCTGGCAATTCGTGCTCTGCTTGAGGTAAGTGTCATTGGCTGGTTCTTCATGTGTTAAATTTACTTTGCTTTCAGGTGTTCGTTGTTCCATGCTTTTTCGTTGAAGCCACAGAAATATGAATCAAACCTATCAAGCATTCAATCTTTAAGCTTTGTAGAAACAATACTGCTAGAAAATGGAAAATGGAAAATGACTGAATCAGAACCATGAAATGGAGCAAAAAACTCACAATTTGAAATTGATTGTATTCATGTTTCAAGAGAAAATTCCATTAGTTCTTTATTTTGAACACTGCAAACACCTAGGGTAAAATGGTTATAAGTATCGTTTTTGCAATATTATTTAGTAATTGTTTCTTTCATTCCATCGCTACTTCGAGGCATGATTCATTAAAAACATATGTGGTCAAACTGTATTCTTGTTGCTAGATTATCGAAGAACAGCGTTAGAGGCTTACTTGTCCGAATAGGTCAAAGAATTCTTGCATTCTTCTACCAAGATTTCCAACATCAGATTTACATGCAGTTCATTATGGCTTACTAATATGGTAAAGATGCATATTATATGATGAATAATGATAGATTGTCTTTATGCATCTCGTTCATGTAGGTTGTTGAGAGTGGGGGGAAGAACAT